AATACCCCAAACTCAATATAGTTTGGAGTGACCAGTGGTCAGTTGACCAATTTCAGGGCTTTCAGTAAAACGCCTGTAACTCTGGAATGGAACAAGCTAGAAGGGTTGGCCTTGCGTAGATCGACAGAGAAATGTCTTCACTATCGATTGACTAAATTGGAACTCATACTTAGTTCAGAAAGTTTTTTCGAAAACTGCTGGTCAAAATCTACAGCAAAAACTGACCAGTTTGACCAATTCATAGTCAAGAGAATTTAACAGAGTTTCACTTCCCCCACATTTCTCTTTTGAATAGTGAAAACCGCAGGTTTCTAGCTGCTTTCATTCTCAAGATATTCAAAAAATATCGATGTGCATTATATTTTGACGTCGACAGTAGTAATTAGAACTTTATCAGAGTCGGTCAAAAGTAGGTCAAAAAAGTAAGCTCGAAATTTCGAAATAAAAAGTCTTTAGTTTACAGCTCAAATTAGCTTGCAATATCTAGCTAACTTCTCATGGATGCTTCAAATGATGTAGAAAAAAATGACTAAATGTTTAAACAAACAATAGTTGATTGTTTAGACGCCATGGGAGTAGCTGTTTGCTGGGGTGCCTACAGTTTAGCATGGTTTATAATAATACCATAATTGAACAGCATCAACATCAGAGTTTTTTGTGTTAATTTTCTCTATGGGATCAGGAAATAACCCTTACAATGTTTTAAAAGTTAAAAACAAATCAACGACTCTAATCATGATATTTAGACTAGTTTTTTTTCAATAATTCTAGAAAAACCTTGTTTCCCAAAATCGGAAAAGTAGTTACGCACAAGTAACTCGATGGGCGCTGTCCAAGAATACTAAATAAATTGAAAACAAAAATTTCCCATCACCACCACTTTATATCTCATGACAAAAGTATTGCAAATAATACTTTTAATATAAAATATAGTTTATAGTTGAAACAAATCTATGAATATAGATATGTATAGTTCACGAAAAGACTGCATGATCATAATTAAAAGTTTAAAATGAAGATACAAACTATTGATACATTGTTTCTGTTTTTCTCAATACGTTTTTCAATAACATTTTTGTATAAATCATTCCATGCTTCAGTGGTCAAATTCTCTACTTCCTAATGCAATGTTGAACTAATTGAATGATCAAGTTATAGGCCTGATTTTAATGCTATTGATCTAGTATGGAACATTATCAAACAGAAAATTAAAATGAAGAATATGAAATCACATGATGAACTAGAAAATGTAGCCAATGAAGCATAGAATTACTTATTAACACGTAATATTCTCATTTGAAACTTTTAATTATAATTCAAGAGTCTATTCTTGCATTATTAATGTCCATCTTCATGAAATTTTTCATAATATTTTTGCCGTTAGTAAAAATTATCAAATAAACTTTCATCTAATACATTAATATTCAACCAATGCATCGGATCCTAAAATATTTTCGTTCACATATAAACAATTTTTTATTCAATTTCTTTTGCAAATAACGCAATTAAAGAAAAAAAAAACAATTGTTTTCCATGATTGGACAAGCTGTCCATTCTTTTATTTTATCAAATACTCATCTAATACACTACAGAATAAAGAGAATAAGGTTTTAAAAAGTGTATGCCACTATTGTTTTTGACCTTCAATGGACTTTGGAGCTTCTTTTGGTTCAACAAATGGTGCTTCAATTTTTAATTGACCATCATCAGTTAATTGAGATTGCATATGATCAACTTGTGTTCCAGGTGGTAATGTTGTTGATTTAAAGAAGAATGATCGTTCTGAACGATT